GCGAGCGTAAAGGATATCTTGGGAATGCTTGGTTCAAATTGAATAAAAACAAAACCAACAAATAAATTTATTTCTTTTAATTTATTTCTTTTAATTTATTTCTTTTAATTTATTTATTTTTATTTCTTTTTTATTTCTTCAGGGCTTCCAAAAGCCCGTTTGTCGCCTCTCCAGGCCGAAAGTCTGAAAGCCAGAAATTCCCACTTGTGCGGCTCGGTGGTGAGTTGGGGTGTACAGACACCTGAGGTGTACAGACACCTGAGGTGTACAGACACCTGGGGTGTACAGGCAGCTTTCCGGTTCTTTCAGGTGTACAGACAGCTTTTGAACTGCTTTTGAAGTGTCTAAATGCGCAGCCACAAACAAATGAAAAACAAAAGAGTGCAGCGCCGAAAAAGAAAAAATAAAACTTGAAAATAAAACTTGAAAAACTGCAGCAATTCATTTCATTGAATAATAAATTCAAACTTCCAAGTTTTCTTTTCGGATCTTTTCAGATGGGCATTTGCATCGGCTGTGTTATTGGACTTTTCCCTTTGCTGCTCATGCCCCAAAAGCGAAGAGAAACAGAAGTTGACAAAGACAACAAAGAAACAGAAGTTGACAAAGACAACAAACAGCTAGCTAGTTGACTAGCTGGCTGGCCAGATGGCTAGCTAGCTGGCTAGCTAGCTCGCTAGCCAGCTTGCTAGCTTGCTGGCTAGTTGACTGGCTGGCTAGCCAGATGGCTAGCTAGCTGGCTAGCTAGCCGGCAGGGCAGCTAGCTAGCTACCCAGGTGGCTAGCTACCTGCCTAGCCACCTTCCTAGCAACCTGGCTAGCTAGCTGGCTAGTTAGCTGGCCAGCTAGCTGGCTAGCTAGCTGGCTAGCTAGCTGGCTAGCTGGCGGACTAGCTAAGCAGCTGGCTAGCTAGCTAGCTAGCTGGCTGTTTGAGACAAGGGGCAGCTGGCTGGCTAGCTAGCTAGCTGGGCAGCTAGCCAGCCGGCTATCTGGCTGGCTGGGTAGCTAGCTAGCAAGCTAGCTGGCTAGCTAGCCAGCCAGATTAATAGCGGAAGAACAGCAGAAAGGATTTAGGGTTTAGGGTTTAGGGTTTGGGGGTCCGGGTGTGTGGACACCGCAATTGAGGCGTTTATTCGGCCCTCTTTATTTGTCTTTTTTCCCTTTTCCATTTGCCTCTTTAGTTGCTTTTATTTATTTATTTATTTATTATTTTATTTATTTATTTATTTATTTTATTTATTTATTTTATTTATTTATTTATTTATTTATTTATTTATTTATTCTCAGAGTTTGTACTCGTCCTTTTGGCTCTGTGGAGCACAAGTGATTAAAAGAAGCGAAGAAGGAAATCGGAGATTAGAGGGAAAGCCGGAAAGGAGTGAAGGAAGAGTGTCAGCTAGCTAGCTAGCTAGCTAGCTAGCTAGCTAGCTAGCTGTTTAACAGGCTATTTATCTGGCCAGCTAAACAGCTAGCTAATTAGCCAGACATTTAGCTAGCTAGCTACCTAGATGGGCGAACGCCGTGTCGCTGGCTAAGTGCTGTCTAGCTAGCTAGCTAGCTAGCCAAGAGAGCTGGCTGTCTGGCTAGCTGCCTAAATCGTTAGCTAGCTAGCCGCCAAGCCGGACGGCTAGCCAGCTGGCTAGCTAGGTGGCTAGCCAGCTAGCCAGTTATGCAGCTAGCTAGCTACTCAAATAGGCGGCCATCTAACTAGCCAAATGGCTGGCTAGCTACTTACATGGGCAGCTAGCTAGCCAACGAAATGGGTTACTCGCCTGGTAGCTTCGGACTGTCTAGCTGGCTAGCTGGCTAGCTAGCTAGCCTAATGGGTTGACGGCTAGCTAGGTAGAAAGCTAGCTAGCCGGATTTGTGGCTAACTAACTGGCTAGCTAGCTAGCTAGCGAGCTAGCTAGCCAGCGAGGTGGGTGAGTGGCTAGCTAGCTAGCTGAGTTGCGTGCTTATTGGGTGGAGGCGAGAAAGTAAAGAATGGGAGACAAGTTGAGGAATGAGAAGAAAGAAATATAAATTAGACGAAATAAAAGAAAGTTCAAAAGAAGTAAAAAGAAGTAAATGAGTTTTGACCGGGTGCTTAGAGTTGCTGGCTTCGAGGTGTACATACACCTCGGGCTCGAGACCCGTGGTTTTCAGGTTTTTAATGTCCAATTAATATCATTTAAACTCAAATATAATATTATTAAATGTTTTAAACTCAAAAATGAATTCGAAAGGGCAAAAGAAGAACTAAAAGCCCCAAGAGCGAGCGCATGCAGAGCCAGCTGGGGCTGGGGTGTATGTACACCTGAAATTTCGGCGGCGCCGCGCAGCAGCTGCCGACGAAAGTTTGAAATTTTAATTCTTTTAATTTGTTTTTATGAAAGTTTATATTCGAGAAAGAAACTGAGGAGAGAAAAAGCGTTCTCCGGAAGTCCCCGCTCCCCAGCGAGACAACAAACGAGGGTTTAGGGTTTAGGGTTTAGGGTTTAGGGTTTTGGTGCACGGGACCCGACCCTAACACAAACCCAGAAAAACAAGTTTCAGCCTCATTCCGCCGCACCCTAGGGTTTAGGGTTTAGGGTTTAGGGTTTAGGGCTTCCCAAGCCAACGAAGATGCTGCAGAAAAAACGAGAGCTCGTAAGCAAACCCTAAACCCTAAACCCTAAACCCCAATCTCCAAACCCTAATCGCGACTCCTTAGACTATCCCCTGTCGATCCCTTTGCCTTCTGTTGCAGCACCTGGCAGATATTAGGGTTTAGGGTCTGCGGTCTCTGGTTTAGGGTTTGGGGGGTTAGGGTTTAGGGTTTAGGGTTTAGGGTTTAGGGTTTGTGCGCAGCTCGACGATTCGTCTGACGAGGACTCCATCCCTCTCTCAAAACGGTTTAAAAAGTCTAAGACGGAAGCAGCAGCAGCAGCAGCACCTGCTGCTGCTGCTGCTGCTGCTGCTGCTGCTAAGGAAGCCCCTGCAGCAGAGGGGAGTGTATCTGTTAAGAATGAAAGCAGCAGCAGCAGCAGCAGCAGCAGCAGCAAGGAGGGCAGCAGCAGCAACGGGGGCACAGGATCTGCGAAGCCCTCGCCAGCAGCAACAACAGCAGCAGCAGCAGCAGCAACAACAGCAGCAGCAGCAGCAGCAACAACAGCAGCAGCAGCAACAGCAGTAGCAGCAGTGGGGGGTTCTCTTGCTGCTGCTCTGCGCAGCGTGAAGGCGGAGGGCTCTTCGGCTTCGCCAGCAGCAGCAGCAACAGCAGCAGCAGCAACAGCAGCAACTGCAGCAGCAGCAGCAGCAGAAGCAGCAAATAAAGCAGCAGCAAGACCCTCAGCTTCTCCTTCTCCTGCGGGAATTCGCAGAAGAAATAAATACACTAAAACAGAGGAAAACTTTGAGCCCATTTCGAGGTGGTGGGAAAAGGATTTGTCCCAGCTCGAAAATAATGTCGTACAGGTAAACCCTAAACCCTATATTAGGGTTTAGGGTTTGGGTCTGGGGTTTAGGGTTTAGGGCTTCGGGTTCAGGGCTTGGGATTCAGGCTTTGAGGGAGCAGACAGGGTTTACCCCAACAAGAAAATAGTGTAGCCCAGGCAAGGTAGGGTTTAGGGTTTAGGGTTTAGGGTTTAGGGTTTAGGGTTTAGGGTTTGGGGTTTGGGTGTGGTGGGAAAGAGTTTTATATCAATTAGAAAAGGACGCCATGCAACTAAATTAGGGTTTGTTCCGATGTGCAGAAAAGCAGCATTTAACTTCCCTAATTCCAGCTTTACGGCTTAGGGTTTAGGGTTTAGGGTTTAGGGTTTAGGGTTTAGGGTTTAGGGTTTGCGTTTCAGTGGCAGTACCTGGAGCACCACGGCTTGATGTTTTCTCCTCCTTACGAACCCCACGGGGTTTGCATTCGCTATAAAGGAGAATTAGTTTCTTTGCCTCCCGAAGCCGAAGAAGTGGCCAACTTCTGGTGAGCTAGGGTTTAGGGTTTAGGGTTTAGGGTTTAGGGTTTAGGGTTTAGGGTTTGGGGGTTGGGGTTTGGGGCGTGGGCTTAGTGGGGTTTAGGGTTTGGGGCCTGGAGAGCGTGTTCTTTCGTTGCTTCCGCTGCAGCTTCCGTAAACCTGAGGCTGCAGCGCCTAGGGTTTAGGGTTTAGGGTTTAGGGTTTAGGGTTTAGGGTTTAGGGTTTAGGGTTTAGGGTTTAGGGTTTGCCGTTTAGGGTTTAGGGTTTAGGGTTTAGGGTTTAGGGTTTAGGGTTTAGGGTTTAGGGTTTAGGGTTTTGTTTTAGGGTTTAGGGTTTAGGGTTTAGGGTTTAGGGTTTAGGGTTTAGGGTTTAGGGTTTAGGGTTTAGGGGTTTAGGGTTTAGGGTTTAGGGTTTAGGGTTTAGGGTTTAGGGTTTAGGGTTTAGGGTTTAGGGTTTGCGGGCAGGTGCGGGGTGTTGGAGAGCGACTACGCCACGAAGATAAGATTTGTGCGGAACTTCTGGCGAGCTTTTCTTTCCAAATTACCTGAAGACCATTTAATAAAAAAAGATCCAAAACACGCTCAAGTGCGGATTCCTGCTGCTGCTGCTGCTGCTGCTGCTGCAGGGGACGCAGCAGCAGCAGCAGCAGCAGCAGCAGCAGCAGCAACGGCGCCCGACGCAGCAGGCTTCGAAGCCTGCGACTTCTCAAACATCAAGCAGCACCTCGACGCTCAAAAGGAAGCCAAGAAAAACATGTCCAAGGAGGAAAAAGAAGTAGGGTTTAGGGTTTAGGGTTTACTAGGGTTTAGGGTTTACTAGGGTTTAGGGTTTAGGGTTTAGGGTTTAGGGTTTGGGGCTATCCGGGGGCCGTTGTGTTTCGTTCGAGGCTTGTTCTGCAGCTTTTTTCGTGCTCGTTCCGTTGGGCGTGCGGCGTGTGTGTGGGCGAGGGTTTAGGGTTTAGGGTTTAGGGTTTAGGGTTTAGGGTTTGGATGCAGGCGCTGAAAGCTCAAAAAGATGCAGAAGCTGCCCCTTTTGCTTTCGCCCTTGTGGACTGGCTGAGGGAAAAAGTCGG